GTGATGAAATTTGTGACGGATTTTTAGAGACGAAAATTTCTCCATCACAAATATTTTTTTTTTGATTCAGTTACAAAATTTGTGACGGATTTTTAGAGACGGAATATATTCTGTCACAAAATCCGTCACAAAACTCAATAAATTCTTGTCCGTCACAAAACTTAAAATTCCCTCACAAAATGCGTCACTATTAGCGATGCTATTTTTTCCGTCACAAAATTCGTCACAAATATTAATTTTTCTAGTAGTGTATTTACAATGCAATGTCTCATTTGTTTTTCTTGTTTATATGCATTCTTTTATTTTACTGATTTTTCTACTTTTCCGCAACAAAAGAATACGCACTTCCATCAACTTTTGATTTGTAATAAAACCCATAAAGAATTGAAACTTCACAGAGAGAGTAGGCAGCAGTAAAGAAATGATCAACAATAGCTTGTTGTATTATTGAGACGTGAAGGAATATATACAAGCAAAAGAGGGAGAGAAAAGAATAATAAAACGTTACATCATAACAGAAAAGATGTTGCAAAACAGAAAAAGAAGGACGCAAAACACGTGACGTTAAGAGCCCCCCTAAAGCTAGGAATAGATGTTTGTCATTCCCAGCTTGGAACAGAAATCTTTGAAAAGGGAAGGAGATAATGCCTTGGTGAAGATGTCAGCTAACTGTAGAGAGGAGGAAACTGGTAGCAGTTTAATCAAGCCTTTACTAACTCTTTCTCGAATGAAATGGCAGTCTAGCTCAATATGTTTCGTGCGTTCGTGAAACATTTGGTTAGAAGCTATTTGTAAAGCAGACTGATTGTCACAAAAAAAGAAGTGCTGGTCGTGTGAATTGGATGCAAAGATCGTCTAGCAGGTAAATGAGCCATTGAAGCTCACACGGGGTGGATGCAAGAGCACGATATTCTGCCTCAGAAGAGCTGCGAGAGATAGTTGGTTGCTTCTTGGATCTCCACGAGATGAGAGAGTTGCCAAGATAAATGTAAAAGCCGGTAATGGAGCGATGAGAATCCACACATCCTGCCCAATCAGAGTCACTGAAGGCCTTCAACTGAAGAGGGCTATCAGCAGCAAGGAAAATTCCATATCCAGGTGCATGTTTCAAATAAAGAAGGACACAAATAACGGCTTGATGATGAGTTGAAGTGGGTTTGGCCACGAACTAGCTGAGATGTTGGACAACATGAGTGATGTCAGGACGTGTATTTGTTAGATAAATCAACCTCCCAATGAGTCTCCTATAAGCCGATGGATCCACTAAAGGTTCACCACTTGAAGCAGATAAATGAACAGAATTGTCCATGGGAGTAGATGATGGGGAACAAGCGAGCATGCCAGTGTTGGATAGAATATCTAACGTATATTTTCGTTGTGACAAATGAATACCAGTTTTGTTTCTAGAAACCTCCAACCCAAGAAAATATGTTAAATCGCCCAAATCTTTGATCTTGAAAGTTTCATCAAGAAGAACAGTGATAGCACGAATTTCAGATATGTCATTGCCAGCAAGTACAATGTCGTCTACATATACTAGAAGAGCAGTGCAAGTGGACCCTGTGAACTTTAAAAATAAAGAGTGATCTGCAGAGGAGTGATGATATCCATGCAAAACAAGGAAGTTGGAGAGACATGCATACCATTGGCGGCTGGCTTGTTTGAGCCCATACAAAGAATGTTGTAAGCGGCAAACTTGACCTGCTGCAGATGAAGGTACACCAGGGGGAAGTTGCATATAAACCTCCTCGTTAAGTTCCCTATGCAAAAAGGCATTATTAACATCCAACTGTTTGAGGTGCCAATTGTAACGACCCGCCATGGTCTATACACTTAGTGGAATCGCACTACTGCTAGTGAAACTAAGAGAAATATTAAGCTGGATAACTCATACATACATGTACAAATAAAAATGAAAATAACTAAGTTTTGGGTTCCATATATGTACAGTCATCCCAAAAATAATATTCCTTAGTGCCGGTCAAGCACAGACAAAACCGTTACCCAAAATGGTAACTCTAACACGAGGATCCAACTCCCCGTCTCGCAGCGATCACCCCAACTCCAAGCTAGTCCTGACCTGCTCCCATACCAAGTATGATAATCACAGTTCCACCACATGGAAACAGAAGGGTAAGCTAGAATTCACAAATCAATCATAAAAGTATAGAACAATAATCTATACTACATAATTGTCCAACTATCAATCATATTCATAGAGTCACACCAAACACTCTATCCAATACTACTCATGCATAAGATACAATCCACCAATCATGAAGTCAAACACCACACTTCATCATATTAATAATCATGCAATAAATGCATCTCATGACAGATATCAATGCATATCAATCATCTAATGCGTCGTCACGCATACACCTAGGAGATCTCCACAACAATAGAGCTGTATAAGTGACATTCCATCCTACCGAAACCACCCCAACCGTTTTCACGCCCAATGCGCCCGCTCGGTCACAGCTAAACAGGATATAATATCCTCCCTCGGGTTTACTCGGATGATGTCACTTACACAATTGGAAGTCCAGATCCACCGTCAGGTATAGCACAGCTGGGTACGGGCTTACCACGACCTTGGCATGCATTAACCAAGTCAATTGTGGAGTTCGCCCACCGACTATCCGCAAGGATCCACGCACCTTCCCGAGTACTTGGTTAAGGGAATAACCCTCGACCTCATACCCCGCTCCAACACTAGCTAAGGACTTAGAGGAGACTCACCCAACCCAGTGGCCTATCTGAGCACCACTCTCCCAAATCCAGTGGCCTCCCAGAGCACCACTCTCATATATCAGTGGCCTATCCAAGCACCACTCTCAAGAGACTCTATGTGAGCTCTTCCAGTTCGAAAATATTTTTCCTCTCCTCAAGTCCTAGGCTAGACTCATGCCATAGGCATCACATGCAATCATGCATCATACATCATAATGGTCTGCCCACCATCATGATCAACAATCATACACATGTCATAAGACATCACATGCAATAATGCATCATACATCATAAATAGTCTACCCACCACTATGATCAATAAACATACTCATATGAACATTTACACATGTCATATCATATTCAAACATTCATACGTATCATCACCAAGCATACATATGAATCACACCTCACCATACATCATATATCATACATACATGATCTAAACTTTAACTTTAAATATGCATAAGCATCCATTCATTCATAAACATATTCACGCCCGGCGTAGCCTGAGCTCGCCCAGCCTAATCCCAACCTGAGAGTCCTGAAACTCATCCATGCCCAGCACGTTCAACTCACGCTCGGTGTCGTTGAAACAGAGACTCCTAAGAGTATCCACGCCTGACGCAACCAAATCTCGTCTGGCCCAACATCCAACCCAAGAGCCCTAAGCTCTTCCACGCCTGGCGCGCTCAACCTGCGCCCTGCCTAAATCCTAGTCAGAGAGTTCAAAACTCTCATCAAACTAACAAATTCAACCACAAAACACAATGCATAGGCTCCATACGACACAAAATAAACTTAAATCTCACATGCATCCCAACTATGCATCAAAATCCTCCTTTTCCTCAAAACCCCAAAAATGAGATTTTCTTCAATCCATCTATGGATTCTCAACATTCATGCACCTATTGAGTTTCTAAACTCACATGCAACCTAAACAACAAACATCCTAGCTTCCCACCCCGGAAGATCGGCTCAAAATAGCCAACAACTGTGACGAAATAGAATTCCCTTCCAAAGCTCAACTCGGAACTTCAATCCTCCCAAAGTAAGCTTTCTAATCCAGAGACCTTCTCTCTAAAAACTCACATTCTCCTGAAGGCCCCCAACCCCTATTTATAGACGTTTCGAAATGGCCAAAACGGCCTGTACCGATACCGGAACGACCCGTTCTGAATTCCCTCAACACGCATAAAAATCACCTGCAGAACGGTCTGTTCTGAAATCAGAACGGCCTGTTCTGGAACTCATCCAGAATGGCCCGTACTCCCCTCCAGAACGACCCGTTCTCCATCCAGAACGGCCCGTTCTCCACTACAAATTTCAGTTCAATTTAATAGTTTGGAACGGCCCGTTTCAGATTGGGAACGGCCCGTTCTGGGCTACTAAATCAGCCACATTTTTTTTTCTACGTTACACCAATTAGAAATGGAAGCTACCGAAAGAAGAAGATGCACTGTAGTAAGTTTAGCCTCCGGAGAAAAAGTGTCAAGAAAATCAAGACCCTCAAGTTGAGTGTATCCTTTAGCAACGAGACATGCCTTATATCTTTGAACAGATCCATCAGCATTGTGTTTGATCTTGTAGATCCAGCGACACCCAATTGCAAATTTGTTTGGAGGTAGGGAAGTGATGGTCCAAGTATTATTCGCTTCGAGTGCAATGATCTTGTCTCTCATAGCTTTAATCCAACAATCACTCTTGGAAGCTTCAGCATAGGAGGAAGGTTCGGTGGCAATAGAAACAGGCAAGATAAAATGATGAAAAGGAGGAGATAAACGATCATAAGAGATATAAGAATTGAGAGGATAATGAATACCTGGAGAAGAAGTAGGTGCAGTTGATGCAAGGTTGACATGAAAATCATGCAGGTAGGTAGGCGCTTGACGCATGGGGGTAGAACGACGAAGAGCTGGTGGAGATGTAACAATATCTGAAGAAAGAGTAGGAGAATGAGAAGAAGGAGAAGAAATAATGACAGGAGTGTCAAGGGTAAGGAGTAGGGTCGTGAAGAAAATAATTGGTGGTAGTAGGTGAAGGAAGGGAGGGGGTAAAAGAAGTAGTATTTTGGTCAGAGTTAGTATAAGGAAAATGATCTTCATAGAAAACCACATTACGAGAGACTTCAATGTTGCGTGTGTGAAGGTTGAAAATAAGGTAGCCTTTTGTGTTGGGTTTGAAACCGAGGTATATACATGGGTTGGCTCTAGGATCAAGTTTCTTACGATGAGCTTGAAGGGTATTAATATAGCACAAGCAACCAAAAACACGAAGTGTGGATATGTCACATGGTTTGTCATATAATTTTTGAAAAGGAGAGACATTTTGTAAAAATGGAGTTGGGATGCAATTTATGAGATGAACAGCATGCATGATAACAAAATTTCAAAAAGAGGGTGGTAAATTGGAGTGAAAGAGAAGGGCTCGAGTGACATTTAAGAGATGTTGGTGTTTTCGTTCCACTATGCCATTTTGTTCAGGGGTCTCAATACAAGTGGTTTGATGTATAATTCCTTTAGATTCAAAAAATTGATTCATCAAAAACTCAACACCATTGTTAGTTCTAATAACTTTGACTCATTTTCCAAATTGATTTTCAATAAGATTAATAAACATCATTATATGGTTACGAGTCTCGGTCTTAGATAGCATGAGAAAAACCCATGTGAAACGGGAATGGTCATCAACTATAGTAAGAAAATATTCATGTCCATGCAAAGAGACTTTCGAACAGGGCCCCCATATGTCAATATGAATTAAATCAAACGAATGAGATGCATGAAAGTTGCTTAATGAAAACGGAAGTTTCTTTTGCTTGGCATGGTGTCAAATATTACAAGTGAAACGCTTATCACTATGTAAGAATGGATAATATTGTTTCATAGTGTTAAGTCTCTCATATGACAAATGACCCATGCGAAAATGCCACAAATCAATGTCTTGGACAGTATATTGGGGAGAAACAATAGTGGAGGAAACTGAAGGTAAGTGGATAATGGGAGTGGTCAAAGTGTAGAGTCCTCCTTGCGCATCAACTGTACCAATCTTCTCTTTGGTGTTCACATCCTATATAATGCAAGATACAAGGGAAAAAAATAAGTTGACAGTGAAGAGAAGAAGCTAATTTAGAAATGGAGATCAAGTTAAAAGTGAAATCAGGAATGTACAAAACATCTATTAAATGGAAAGACTCATTGAATTTGACTATACCAGAGTGTGTAGCATGAACATGTTGTCCTGTGGGCAACTTAACAACTATAGGATCAATAGATGTATAGGTAAAGAAATTAGAAAGAGAAGAAGACACATGGTCAGTTGCACCAGAATCAATGATTCAAGAGGATGAATGGTGAGAAATGACAGAACAAAAATTACCTGAAAAGAATGGTTGTGTAGAAATAGAACTGATAGAACCAATATTGTGGGAAGAAGGATCTGAGCTACCATTGGTGGATTGTTGTATTAAAGCCATCAAGGCTTGATATTGCTGTTGAGTGAAACGAAAATCTTGGGCCATGGGAGCTTGCTGTTGATCATTATCAGTAACGTTACAAGCATCAGTCACAATATTATTGACAGTAGTTTTCTTTCTTGGAGAGGATTTATGGCCTGGAGGGAAACCATGTTTGCGATAACAAACCTCTATGGTATGACCTGTTCTGCCACAATGAGTGCAAAGTTTAGTGGATTTGTTAGAAGAATAACGAGAGCCTTTGTTGTCATGCATGGAAGAAAAACCATGTTTCTTATAACATAGATTCTCAGTGTGACCAGCACGTCCACAATGAGTGCAATTGAGTGAGGTTGTGGCAGCGTTGACAACATTAGTTTTGGAAGAAACATTGGCAATAAAATTGGTTCCTATCAATTGGTGTTCTTGCTGAGCAACAAGTGAAAATATTTTGGAAATCGGAGGGATGGGATCCATAAGAAGGACATGTGATATGATGTTGTTGTATTGATCATTCAAGCCACGTAAAAATTGCATGGCCTGATCCTCTTGTTTTCTTTGTGTAATGGAAGGAAGAACATTACAACAACATTTAATCGAACAGGTGCATATGGGCTCAGGTCGAAAATTTTCCAATTTGTCCCAAATGATACGAAGTTTAGTGAAAAACTCAGTAATGGACATATCACCTTGTCGGAGGGAAGATGCTTCATACTATAAATCTGAAATGCGGAAGAGATCACCTTGGGAATAACTGGATTTGAGATCATTCCAAATCTCATCAGCTTTGTCCATCCAAAGCATACTCTGTCAGATTGAAGGAGATACAGAATGTACGATCCATGAAACGACCATGTTGTTGCATCGTTTCCAAGCTGAGTATGTGAAATCAGATTTAGGAGGTTGAGGTGCAAATCCATCAACAAATTCCAGTTTATTTTTAGCACTGAGGGCTGTAATCATTGATCTACGCCATGAATGGTAGTTACTGGAGTCAACAATAGGTGACACTAAAGCTGTAACAGGGTTCTCTCCAGGGTGGAGGTAGAGAAAACTATGAATAGTAGATGTTTGATTTGGGCTATCAGCCATGACGGAAATATCAAGAAAAAAAAATAGAAGAACGAAAGCGCAGCAGAGCTCTTCAATGGAAGAGCTCTGATACCATAATAAAACCCATAAAGAATTGAAACTTCACAGAGAGAGTAGGCAGCAGTAAAGAAATGATCAACAATAGCTTGTTGTATTATTGAGAACGTGAAGGAATATATACAAGCAAAAGAGGGAGAGAGAAGAGTAATAAAACGTTACATCATAACAAAAAAGATGCTACAAAACAGAAAAAGAAGGACGCAAAATACGTGACGTTAAGAATTTGCATTACATACCAACAAAATAAACATACCCGTTACCTCTCCGAAGGAAAATTAATTTGCAGTGTGTATATAATGTTTTGCACATACAGAAGAAAAAGAGAGACAAAACAACAGCAGAAGAAAAAATGTACCAATCCTCAAAATATTACTGTATGACTTGTGATAAAAACAAGTCAAATGCATGTGCACTATGCTTACAATTAATTTGTTCTTAGAACCATGTCTTAATATGTGTACATGACATAACCAGTTTTTCAGTTCCACTTTTATCTCTATAACTTAAAATGGTCAAGAGCTGAATTTCCATCGAGTCCCTTGTTATTATAGTAAGCATTGAAATCTTGTAATAAAATCTCCCTATACAATGGGGGGTTATCTTCTGACAATAGTTCCTTGATGGGACCATATGTTCTTGTTGATGGGAAGTGATCAAGTGTGAAAAAGCATGCAACTGATACTCTAGGCCCTTTATGGTTTGCCAGAACACGGTGCTCCACACTTTTGAATTTGTCATTGGAAATAAGCTACAATATGCCAACATGCATGAATTTCATTAGCCAAACCCCAAACTCTTCTAAATAACTCTATCTAAGTTCAGATGAGCACACACACAGACCCCAGATATCAAACAGCCACATAAGAGCATACTAGATAATTATTCTTTCAAGTCCAAGAGAAAAGGCAGGACTCAATCTTCAACCATGACATGAGGATACATATATATATACTAGTAGAGGCTTTAATTAATGTTCAACTTCTTACTTTTATTATTCAATCATTTCGAGTGTGCAATTGGTGACAAGTCCTAATAAAGTGTCAATTCTTAGAATCAACATAATATTTAGAAAAAGAATCACAGTAAAAACAAAATGATTATGAAATCGAGTCAGTTGCAGCTTCTGTGAAGCAATTTCTTTAGCTCTGTACACTACTTATGAACAGACTAGCTTCATGTTGGTTCAGCAATTAATGAATCTAGTTTCAAATTTCTGTCTCAAAAATTTGAGGACCTGAGAATAAGCCTAAAATCATGGCCAACAGTGGACCGTTTATGGACATTTGAAAAAAGAAAAAAGTGAAAAAGTGAATGCTCACAACATGCAAGGTGGATATATAAACAATTGTACTAATGTGACTCTTTTCTTTTTCATACATTACTGTGAATATTACTCACTATTTAGTATATCCATATTAATCCATAACGACCAAGGCAACAAAATTAAACGAAACTATATATGCAACATGTGTCTACAAGGAAAATACAAGAAATGTTCATGTTTCTCATATACTCATGTTAAGCATTTGCATGCACCCTTAATTAATATATCAAGTTTAAGTCCTACGTATATAACTATGTTAAATATTCAGAATGAAAATTTTGTTGTGCATAGTAATTTTATAATGTTTGAATAAGATTATTTTTGATAAAAGATACTTATGATCTATAAAATAAACTGCATGATTGATTGTTTGCTTTAAAATGATGATGAATATTAATTTTCATCATCACTTAGTGCATGAGGGTGTGTGTAATTTGAATCGGATCATACTATAACTACATTATACAAAAATGTGTGCAAACATCGAATCATGGAAATATTTATTTAACCATGTTTATAGAGGGGAGGGAGTCAAATAAATTAGAAAAGTTTAATTACCCTTTTGTATCGCATAATTAATTACTCTATTTTTTATAGTTGAAAATATTTCCTTTTTAGTCTCTGTTGTTTATTACTATAGAAATTAGTTAAAAATAAAGTTTATGAATATATATATAAACTAAACATATTATGCATATAAAGTTTATAAAAGTATAAGAATCAAAAAATAATTAAACCAATTTGAAACTAACCTGCAAAACATCTCTAATATTTACAACAAGTGCTCCAGGAATAGGGGGAACATCAAGCCACTGATTTTGGTACAAGATTTGAAGTCCCCCAATGTGGTCTTGAAGCAGAATTGTGAGGAAATCAGGGTCTGAGTGTTTGGTGGTGCCCAAAGTCAGTTGAGGCTCAGGACATGAGGGATAATAGTTACACAGTAGTAAGTGCCCTTTTGCACAGTCCAAGTCTTTAAGATGGTAAGGCTTCAGTCCAATTGCCTCAGACAATAATTCAAATAAAAGGCTCCCTAATGTCTCAACTTGCTTTGAGAACTCTGGTATTACATCCCTGTAAATTAGAGTAACTCTCTAGTTAAACTAATTATCCGTAATGAGTAGCTAAAATTTTCTTTTTAACAAATGTGATTTTCTGTGTATGGTATTGTAATTATCCATCTCAAAGATGGTATCCTATTTGGAAAAGAAGTTACAAAAGAGGAGACTCGGTCTGCATCGAGAATGCTTCATTAAAGTTTATACTATAAATCTGTTAATAATATATACTTTTTGAAGCCCATTTCTGCACATAAGATAATAATATTATTATGTATTTCTCTAATTTTATATGTTCTCTCATGTATATTAAATAATTAATATTTTTAATTATATTGATAAAATAATAAAACTAAAAAAGAAGTATATTGATATATAATAAAAGTAAATAATATTTATTATTCAAAGTAATCATATGCTATGGTATCAAAATTGTTATCTTAATTTTAGAAAAATTGTTATCTCATACCAATATTCAATTATCAAATTTCTTAAAAGGCAAAACTCATGCTATAAACCAATAAAAAAAGAAAGGATTTTTTTTTTTAATTTTCATATTTAAAAGCATCCTGCTATGCGTGACTTTATATGTAGTTATTATAAAATGACTTGTACGAAATATTAAGATTTACCTAATGATAAAGAGTTTGAGTAATTTGAATGAAATATTGTGTTCAAATTTTTATATTCTTATTGTAAAAAAAAGGTGATTTAGTATTTATGTATATTAATGTTAAACTAGTTGTTTATAATTAGAATCTTTTAAGAATTTTCACATTATTAAAATCTTTTAATTAATAAAAAGTTACGTTCTATGAATATAAATTAATCTTTAATTGTTAACTTTGAGATATTGTGTAATATATATATATATATATATATATATATATATATATATATATATATTTTTATAAAGAGATTTTTCTTTT